CCCTACCCTGTGTGCAAGGGGCATCGTCCTACCCTGTGCACGGGTGACATCGTCCTACCCTGTGCACAGGTGACATCGCCCTACCCTGTGCATGGGTGACATCATCCTACCCTGTGCACGGGTGACATCGCCCTACCCTGTGCACAGGTGACATCGCCCTACCCTGTGCACAGGTGACATCATCCTACCCTGTGCACAGGTGACATCGCCCTACCCTGTGCACAGGTGACATCGTCCTACCCTGTGTACAGGGAACAGCATCCTACCCTGTGCACGGGTGACATCGTCCTACCCTGTGCTGGCAGGCGGTGCGTGTGTTTCCTGCCCGCCTCTCACACGCGGCCCCGTGGTCTCTGCCCGCATTGTTTCTCAGGCAAACCTGCAGTCGCCTCCGTCATTGTCCCTCTGTGCACACTGTGTCTTCTGCACGGCGCTAGGTTTATTTGTGCTGTTACGCATGGTGGTGATGTGCCTTTGTCCACTTGTCTTCATGTGTGGGCTTGGTTGGGGTTCAGACATGGTGCTGTCATTTTCATCACGCTTAAAGTCCTTTCACGGGTGATGTTGGTTATGGCCCCTGCCCTCTGCTTGCACGAACTCTGTTCACAGGCCGGGCTCCAGAAGCTCTGTCCATGTTTACCTTCACTCTCTGCCCTGTGAGTCCTGTTGGCAGGTTTCCATCACCCTGCGTCCAACCCTTTCTTCGTGAGTTTGCCCCTCCATGCTCCAACCCACTGCTGTCTGGTCTGCTCTGGCTCACAGCCACCCTGCAGCCAGGGGAGACCTGCCCCTTGGGGTTCCCAGACTGCCACTCATTGCGGGAGCAGAACCTTCATCTTCCTCCCGTGGTGCCACTGACGGCTTCCCAGGGCAGCCCAGCACCTGACCCTGAGCACCACCAGGGCCCTCGCTGCTGTGCAGACGGTGCTGGACCGTCTTCTCCTTCCCAGAAACGATGGTTTGTTTCCTGCTGGTGCATTCAATTTTGTTTATTTGTTCTCTTGCTCTCTCTCCCTGTGCAGTTTGGGTCTTTATGTCATGGGGGGTGTGGGGGGTCAAGGGCTTCTGCTTCTCTGCTCCTTCCGGAACACTAATTAGGATTAATGAATCACGTCACTGCGGTGAAATCCTCCCAGCTCTGTGTCTGGTGATGCCTCACAGAGTAGGGGATCATCACTCGGGCTGTTGGAGCAGCGATCGGGCTGTTGGAGCAGCAGTGGGGTAGAACAATTCAACACTCTCCCCCTCAGCACCCCACAGCACTGCCCCTCTCAGTATTTCCCTCAACCTCCCACCAGCACTCCCCACGAACGCTGCCCCCTTAGCTCTCCCCTGCTCAGCGTCCCCAACACTGCCCCTTGGCATCCACCACACTCTTCCCTCCAGCCCTTCCACCTCTGTCCTTCCATCCCTGCGTCCCTCACACTGTGATGGTGGATGGGGCTCCACTGCTGCTCAGTTCAGTCTCCACCTCCATCCAGACTGAGGAGACCCCGAGAACAGGGCCAGGGACAGTTGCCCGGCTCCCATCCTGATCATCCAAGTCCCAAAGGTGGCCCCCTGTGGCCACATGCCAGCACCTGCCCTGTGGTCTGGATGGCTGTGCTCAGACAGACGTGACAGCGGGCATCCCGGCACGGGAGGAGATGTGGTCCTGTTTGTGCTTCGAAAGCCTGCTGTCTTTAGTCTTCAGTGACCTGACCAGGTGTCCTGACCGAGCCAGAACACACCACACTGAGGGATGGCTCCAAGGCTGGAGTGCTGTGCAAACAAGGGACCGCTGTCTGGCCGCACCAGTCCATGGTGGTGGCCACTGCGCTGCCCTGTGCCTTCCAGCCTGGGGCCCCTCTGCAGGGCTGTCACCTGATCTATGGTGGCCCGGAAGCTGAGGCCCAGCCCGGAGGCCTTGTTGATGTTTGGTGCCCCAGTGGCCCCACCTCCAGCAGCCCGCAACATGGGACACTCCCACCCCACCCCCCAAGACAGCCGACTGGCAGGCAGGTGTGAGGTGGCCACTGTCACACGGGTTCTAGCCTTCATTCTAACTTGAAGGTTGGGGTCAGGGAGGAGCCTGTTCAGAATGAATGCTAACCAAGCTCCCAGGAAACATGGACTCCCTGACACCACCACCCTCGTCCCCTGGGATCCAGGCATCGCCCCTGAATTGAGCATTCCTGTCCCCACAGGGGGCACAGCCACCAGGCAGAGAGGCTTCCTGGGCTGCCTGCGGTCCCTGCAGCTCAACGGGCGGACGCTGGACCTGGAGGAAAGGGCAAAGGTCACTCCGGGGGTGAGGCCAGGCTGCCCAGGTCACTGCAGCACCTACGGTCACCTGTGCCTGCATGGGGGACGCTGCCGGGAGAGGCCACGTGGCTTCACCTGCGACTGCACGCCTTCCGCCTTCACTGGGCCCTTCTGCTCCGATGGTGAGTGTCCACCCGCTGGCGGCCGAGGCCCACAGTCACGCTCTGTGCAGCCTCGGATGCCACCCAAAGGGATGGGAGCTATCTGCCTCCCACTCACAGCCCACCTCCCCTGCTGTGTCTGTGCCTGGCTCAGAGCCCACCGACTGGCCCCCAGAGGACGTCCTGTCCTGTGACCTTCACGGAAGCTGACCCCCGAGTCCTTACCCACAGGGCCCCTGGGTGGACTGTGACTGCCAGCCTTCTCTTAGCAGCCAAGTGTTTGACTGCTGTGCCACCCGGGCCCCTCCGGCCTCACTTCATGAGTAAAAGTGGGGTCCTACCCCTCACTGTCTAGCAGGCTGTCAGTGAACCACCCACGCCCCCTGCTGCCGCCCAGAGCCCACTCTTAGGGAGGAACCCTGCCGGGGCAGGCCAGGTCCCTGATGAATCCTCCCAGGGCAGTCAGCCTCCTCAGACCACCCACCTGAGGCGCTCAGAATAAGCTTCTGTGGTGGGTGTTAGATGCCAGCAAGTTAGCTCTGAGTCCCAGCAACCCGCGCCCGGGGAGCAGACACCGCCGTGCCTGCCACCCTCCGTGCTAGCACGATGGAGCCCGCTGTTGCAGCCACTGCGCCAATCCATGCCCTCGAGGGTCTTCCACTTTGTCACTGCCCCTCCCCCTCACCAAGCTTGACGCCCCTCCCCAGGGCCGGTCTCTGGGACAGCACCTCCGGAGTACAGGGGCCAGGCCCAGGGGCATTCCAGCTGGGCTTCTCTCAGGACAGAGCGTTCGCTTTTTGTCAGCCAGGATGTTTGCATTACTGTTGTGGGTCTTATTATTTGAAGTAATTCATTAAATTACTTTTGAAATTGTAAATGTTATTATTTAACATAAATTATTTCAAGTAATTGTCTACATTTTCAAAATATGTGCTATTGTTTAAAGTAATAGTTCCAATAATACAAATTGCTTTTCCAAAAATATCTCATGGGTATACTAAATAAATTTTCACTGAATATTGGCTCGAACTAGGAGAGTTATTGAAGCCATTTGCTGTGGAATTTGTCAGTGGGCTCTTGCTCAGGTGGAAGGAGGGGATGTTTCTCAGCCTCTCTCCTTCCCAGAAATCACAAACATTCTTTGAATAGGCGTTAGGGTCTGAGTCTGGCATGGAAATCGTTCTGGGAAGGTTCTTAGGAGCTATATACTGTCATAGGTGCCCAGGAAAAGCCAGCAAAGCAAATTCCCACTTCCTCCAAGACCCCTTGGCCGCTGCATTTTATCCTGGCGAGCCCCTGGGGCTCAGGAGCACAGCCCGGGATGCCTAACTGGATCGTCAAGCTATTGATTGCAAATCACTTACGGCAATGAGCTGCCTACAAGTGGTCAGAGGGCAGACCCGAGGCTGTGCATCAGTCTCCTGTCACCTTTCCAAGACACGTTCACCTGTATGGGTGCTGGGTCGCCACCTGTGCCAAGGACACATCGGGGTTGTTGGCAGAGAAGAGTGGTCCACGGGTCCTTCCTCCCCACAAGCAGCACGTCGGAGAGAGTCTGCACCTCCGTCCTTGGAGCACCTGCCTCAATGATGAACTGGAAGAAAATGCTGTTACCGCGTCAGCTCTCCTCACATTGATCTGTGGGTTCAGCTGCCTCCGCCAAGTCTTGAGCAGTCTCTTGGTAAAAGTTGACAAGCTAATTCTAATCTAGTGACAAGCAGTTTTTAAAGAGAAGAACAAGCTAGCCTCGGTGAAAATAGAGACTCCACGGATGAACCCTACCACCAGTCAACGGATTTTCCATAAAGGTGTTGATGCCGTTCAATCAGAGGAGAGGGTGTCCTCTAGGCAGATGGTTCTGGAACACTTGGGTAAGCAAAATGACAGCAGAGTTACTGTCCCACTCAATCCTCACCACACGCAAATGAACCCAGGAAGTGGGAGCGAGTGAAGAAGAATGCGGCATTGGGACCTGATGAAGGTCTGGCTCCCCATTCTTTTGGTGGGTAGGGGGAGTTTAACCCTAATTTTTAACTCATCTTTCATTATTCAATAATTGTGTTGGCCTATAATCCCCATATCATACAATTCAGTAGTTCAATCACATCAAGTAGAGGTGTATGATCAAACTTCAGAATATTTTCTTTATTCTTGTAATTATTAGTTCCCCATTTCCACCAACCTCTCCTGCCACACCTCAATCTTAGGAAGTCCCATGTAGGCCTACACCAAGACTGGTGCATGGCAGATTGACTACGGTTCCTAGAACTGGAACTAGCCTCTACTCTGTGTGCTGTGGAAGAAGCTCATTGCAGTCACATGGTGGAGTGCCAGCCTTCAGAAGCCCAAGTGCAAGCAGCCTGAAGAAGGCTGTGATCCGCTCTGTGAAGCCCTAGAAAATGCCCACCCACCTGGAGGGGCAGAGAGCAAGCTGCCCGGGTGTGGCGATGAAGGAAGCGATTGATTGCGGATAAGCTCAAAGGGTCGTGGAAGAATTGGAAATGTTCTGAATATCGATCGGGGTAGTTATTTCATGGTGTTTGCATCTGTCAGACTTGCTGAATGTACCCTTTACAGGAATGTATTATATTTAACTGTCCTGCATGAAAGTCGATTAAAATGCTATTTTATCCCTTCTGGGTGAACACAATAATGTCTTAGTGGTTCCACATCCCACCTCCTCTTGAGATGCTCTCCTGCAGCAAACACTGCACTAGAAGTGGGTGCTGAGGTGTCCCAGTGCCCTGGAGTAGGTGTGTGGGACAGTCATGGCTGGTTATGAGTAGACCGACCATTCCAGGGCAGCTAAATGAGGAAGAGTGATCACATCACCATCCCTCCCCCACCCTGCATCCCTGCCTCCCCCTCCTGGAGATTCCTTCTCATGTAGAATGCAAAAGACACGCCCTCATGAACTGACCTGGCGAAGATGGACAGTCTGTTGGGCCAATGGCTGCTCCTTGATAAAATTAGCAGGATGTCATCATCCTTGTGGGCAGGGCTGACAAGAGTCTGTGTGTTGACCTCTGAAGAGAGGGACCCTTAGAACTCTTTCCCTGCTGGCCGTCTGTGAAGGATGGAACACGGGAGGTGGAGGGTGGGAATGTCGGGAAGTAGAACGTGGCAGCCTGGAATTAAACAGATCATAGCGAGCATTGCCCTGGAGAGTGGCATGTGACTATGTATAGAAACATACAAGACACCCTCGAGGACTGCCCTGAAATCCGCCGCAAACTGGGGACCCATCCTCGGGTATATGGGTGCATAACATAGAACTAGTCGACAGCCCACCATGTCAGGAGGGAGCATATGAGCAAGAACCAATGGTGCTGAAGAAAGTTCAAGCTGCACTGAAAGCATTAGCCAAAAACAAGGCTCCAGAAATTGATGGAATTGAAAAGTTTCAACAAACTGATGAATCACTGGAAGCACTTACTCACCTGTGCCAGGACATTTGGAAGACAGCTTTTTAGCCAATTGACTGGAAGAGATCCACATTTGTACCCATTTCAAAGAAAGGTGACCCAATAGAATGCTCAGATTTGAGAACAGTATCACCGATATCACATGCAGGTAGACTTTTGCTGAAGATCATCTACCAATGGTTGCAGCGGTCCATTGACAGGGAGCTGCCAGAAGTTCAGACTGGATTCAGAAGAGGTCCTGGAACAACGGATATCATTGCTGATGTTAGATGGATCTTGGCCCAAAGCAGAGAAAACCAGAAAGATTATTACTTGTGTTTCATTGACTATGCCAAGGCATTCAACTATGTGGATCATAACCAACTATGAATAACCTTGAGAAGAATAAGAATTCCAGAACACTTCATTGAGCTCCTTTGAAACTTGTACACAAATCAAGAGGCAGTTATGCGAACCGAGCAAGGGAATGCCGGATGGTTTGAAACCAGGGAAAGGTGGGTGTCAGGGTTGTATCCTTTCACCATCAGAGAAGCTGGCTTATATGAAGAAGATTGGAGGAAGGCTCATTAACAACCTGGCTTGCTTGCTGAACGTGTGGAGGCCTTGCTGTTGAAGGTCATAGATTGTGGCCTTCAGTGTGGATCACAACTCAATGTAAAGAAAATAAGAACCCTCACAACTGACCAGTAAGTAGCATCATGATAAATGGACAAAAGATTGCTCCTGGAAGCAGCAGTCGGGTGATCAAAATATGAGTCTCATTAGGTCCATCTGCTGCACCCACCTCTCCAGTCCTGAAAAGCAGGGGATTCCTTTGAAGACCAAGGTGCTTCTGACCCAAGCCATGGTCTTCTGTGTTGCCTCATATGCATGTAAGGATTGGGCATTTACTAGAGAAGACTGAAGAATGAGGAATATAGAAAGCACCGTGGATCAAAAGGACAAACAGACCTGTCCTGGAGAAACATCGCCAGAGTGCTATTTTGAGGCAAGAATGTCTAAACTTTGACTTACATGCTTTGGACATGTGGTCAGAAGAGACCAGTCCCTGGAGAAGGACATCATGATTGTAAAGTCGAGGGGCACCAAAACAGAAGAAGGCTCTCAGGAAGATGGATTGACCCCATGGCTGCAGCAGTGGGCTCAGGCCTAGGGACAATGGCGCAGGACTGGGCGGTGTTTCTGACTATGGGTCAGAACCGGCTTGATGGCACCTAACAGCAACAACAACTCATCGAGGCCCTGTGCTTCCATTGGCTAGCTCCTCTAAAAATTAGAGTAAACTAGATGGCATTTTAAATAGTCTACTTAAAACCAGACCCTGTACGATTTGAACTTGAAACAATGTGTGCTTCTTTCAGAGGTTTCCGCACATTTTGGAGCTGGGTCCACGGTGACGTACAATTTCCAGGAGTATTATTCCCAAAGTGCAAACTCCAGCTCCCACGCTGCCTCGTTCCACGGGCAGGTGGCCTTGGCGAGAGAGATGGTCTCCTTCGCCTTCAGGACGGTGCACAGCCCGAGCCTGCTGCTCTACGTGGACTCTTTCTACAAGGAGTACCTGTCAGTCATCCTGGCCAAGAACGGTAAGTGTCACCTCAGTGTCCCAAGAGCAAGTCGGATGGATCAGCACAAATACCAACAAAGCTGCCGCCAGAGTTGGGCCAGCCTCAGAGCACCACTGTGGGACCACAGGAGCACACCACACCATGTCTCTCTCATGGGGCAGCTGCTGGGTTGGAACCACTGACCTAGCAGTTATCAGGGGAGTGCTTTAACCACTGCACTGCTAGGACTCCCTTTAGAACAGTAATAATATGACAGTTGCTCTCAAACTGTAAACAAGGGGACAGGGCATGCCCTCCTATGGCCATTGTATTCCTATTTGTTTACTTCTCAGAACTAAACAAACAATACGATCACAGGAGGTAGCATTGCAGCAATTTCATCGTATTCTACTATAAAATTCGTCATCTGGATCTTTGGTGTGAGCTGTTGTCCTGGTCTCTGGAAGACGCTGGAGAGGCTGAGGGCGTGTTCTAGCACAGAACAGCGGGGAAGCCAGGGCCGTCCGCACACGAGTGCTCACCTAGCGCCTCCTGGTCCTGAAGTAGAGGGAGCCACTGCCACCCGGAGGTGAGAGGTCAGAGTGCCACCACCAAGGCCAGTCAGGGTCCTAACTCATTAAACAGGAAGCCAGGGCAGTGGTTCAGTCTGGGAAAACTCACCAATGTGTCCAGCTCGTGGAATGTTACCACCGCAGGTCCGACAGCTGGAGGCCCCAGGACAGACTCTGCTGGAGCCACGAGAGCAGGGTTCTCACCCTTCCTCATGCCGCGACCCTTTCATACAGTTGCTCATGTTGAGGTGACCCCCCAACCATAACATTATTTCCATTGCTATTCCATAACTGTAATTCTGCTACTGTTATGAACCGGGCGACCCCTGTGAAAGGGTCATTTGACCCCCAAAGGGGTCGCGACACACAAGTTGGGAACCACTGCACTAGAGGCTGTCAGAAGATGAGGCCACGGGGAGATTCGCCTTTGCGGGCGCAGACTTCAGGGCAAAGGCCTGGGGTCAGTGAACCAGCAAGCTACCGGCCATCTCAATATCACCCAGGTCGAGACACTCAGCAATGAGGGGCTATCCAAATGTACTACTACCAATAGGGGACACCGCCATTAACAATATCAAAATGGAAGCTCCTCTCTCGGACAGAGCTCCTCTCTCTGGACCTCCGTCTAGGTCAACACACATGTAAAAGTGGTGTTTCCAGTTCTGAAACCCCTCCCCAAAGACTGCATCACTCCGCAATTTACACCTTGTCAGGGGCGCCACTTGGGCATCATCGGGGTACTGGAATCATGTTCCTTTTCCAAGTGACTTGAGTTTGGGGAGGAAGAGAAATCCAAAGGGGCAAGGTCAGGGCTGGAGGGTGGGTGGGATCAGGTTGTCCAGTGGCATTCCCATAGGACAGCCCTCACTGCCCCCAGAGAATCGGCAAGTCCATTGTCCCAACAGGAGTGGTCCTTGGAGCAGCCCGTGTGGCGTGGCCTTGCCTCGCTGTGCGGTTTCCATCTTCTTCCATCTTCCTCCGAATACGCCAGGTGATGCCCTGGTGTCTCTGAAGTCCCCTAAACACGAGAGCATCCCCTTCTGAGCAGACTTCTCTGCCTTGAATCTTTTATGCGTATTTTGTTTTTGCTGACCCATTGTCTTTTCCACTAACTTGAGTGGGGACGTGTGATGGATGTATCTGACGTTTCTGGTAATTTCAGCTCAGTGGAGGGCTCTTTGTAGCTCTCTCTCTGCCTTGGACTTAACTAGCCTGACAGGGCCCCTCAGAGACACCATTCTGATGGAACTTTATTGGAAGGCTCCCTCATGATTCTAATACAGTGTGGCCAAGAGAACTTGACTGCAGCCACCCACCGATACAGAGACCTGTCTAAATTTATGCCCGTGTTGACAATAAACCATGCCTATGGGAACCAATGGCTGTTGGGTGGGAACGTTTGGCCCCATTGCGGGTGGAGAGCTGCGATCTCCTCAGCAGTGGGACAACGCTGGACTGTGGGAAGCTGCTGAGAACGCAACGCAGTGACTGCTTTCTCCACTGGTGAAAGGGCCGGAGAATCCGCTCCTGAAGGCCATGTGGCTGGGTCGCCCACTCCTTGCTGGTCCACACGGAGTGCACAGCCTCATCCACTGGAGACCATGCCCACAGGCACCGGGCACTCACCAACCACTGTGTTTCCTCATGTGCCCTAAGTACACGCTTTCCAGGACTGGGAGAGTAGACTGTGGAAATGGTCATCTCGGCTCTGCACAAACCTTCGGTGGCTCTTACTGGAATGTCGGATGAGTCCGAGGTGAACCCCACCTGGGGTTTTCACCAAAAAAATGAGGGATTCTAGGAAAGGCGGGTTTGGGTTGGGGGGCATGGCTGACTGGGGACCAGCAGCCCGGGGCAGGGGAGGATTACAGCTGCAGCAGCGCCTCTGGGTGGACGGATCAGAGCCATACCATGTGCCCAGAAACAAATGTAAACAAACTCCTCTCTGGAGAAAACAAAGGCAGCTCAAAATGTCACTGTGTTCACATTTTATTTTCCCCACTCCAGGGAGTTTGCAGATTCGGTACAAACTCGATATCCATCAAGATCCTGATGTTTTAAACTTTAATTTCAACAACATGGCGGATGGACAACTTCACCATGTGAGGATCAGCCGAGAAGCAGGAGTGGTCTTTGTGGAGGTAACAACATGCTCAGCCACCCCTTCCAGTGGGGTCAGCAGAGAGCAGGAGGTCAGGTGACAGCATGTTCACACGAACCATGCCAGAAACCCCCTCCCCCCGCCCCCCAGTAGGTAGGACCTGATGCAGGAGGTGGCCTGGGCAGTGTAGTCGGATGCTGCTTCCTCAGGTGCACAGGCAAGAAGTCAAGAATAGTCCAGTATTCTACATTTGTTTATTTACCTCAGAACAGAACTTGCCAAATGCCTTCCAAGTACGGGGCTACTTAAGTTTTCCTGGGGTGTCTCCACTTACTTGCCCTGGGAATGCTGTCTGGGTTATCGCGCATTGCTGACAGAATCCTTCAAATGATTCTTCAGTGAGCATCTCCTCCGTGCAATTTACAGAAGTACAAATGTTACAGCAATTTAAAGACCTGATTTGTGCAAAGCATGATTATGATTAAAATTTGCCTAACTGGACAAGAGGTGAGTCAGTGCAGAGGCAGTGGGATGACTTTGGAGGCACCACGAGGTGGCTCTGCTCTCCTGTGGCCTCACATTTGGGGTCTTATCCTTAAGACCTTGCAAACACTGCCTCTTTCCTGTGAGTTTTACCATCACTGGTAATTCCTACGCTGTCAGGAAGCAGCGAAAGCCAAGGAGGTAAACTGGAGTGCAGGATGAAGGCTGGGGGTGTCATGCTAGGTCCATGAACAGTAGTCATAGGCCCGGCTCCTTCATGTGGGCTCTTGACCCTTGGGGAGCACTACGTTGCTGTGTGTGTATTGCTCACTTTCTGTACGATCTTCCTTTGACTCCTGTGCCCTGTGGGTGCCCGCCTCTCCCGGACAGATGAACCAGAAAACACGGAGACAAGTGAGCCTGTCCTCGGGCACGGAGTTCCACGCCATCAAGTCCTTGGTGTTGGGCAGGATTCCAGGCAAGTAGGGGGCATTTCCTGCCGGACGTGGATCCAGCAGGGCCCCTTGCACAGCAAGCCGGCTCCTTGTTTCATTTCAATCACACCGTTAGACCAGTTAAGGGAGAAAGCATTCCTTTGTGGGGGTGTCCAGGTAACCCTGAGACAGACCCTTCCTGTGAGGAGCTACTGTGCTCTGCCGAGAAGACCCCTCACCCCCTTTGCGAACACAAGACCCAGTAATTTCCCAATAAAGGAACGCCCTGCTTCAAGCTGCACCACGTGAGGTGCACAGAGAGTCGTTAAGCCTGCTGCACATCCACAGGGCTCTCAGGGGAGGCGGGGAGGAGGGGTGTGAATGCACGTGGCAGTTGTCAGAGAGGGAGGGCGTAAACACTCATGGCAATTGTCAGGGAGGAGTGTGAGCACACATCACAGTTGTCACGGAGGGTGTGAACACTGGCACTTGTCATGGAGGGTGTGAACACATGTGGCAGTTGTCACGGAGGGTGTGAACACTGGCAGTTGTCACAGAGGATGTGAACACATGTGGCAGTTGTCACAGAGG